GCCAGAGCTCCTTCCATTGCTGAGAATGAAAAGGGTGGCTAGCACACACATGTTCAATCTCTACCCGCTTCTTCTTTATGCATGAGTTAAGACTCGGCCTCTTTGGCAGTCTGACTTGTCTAAAAACCTCCTGACTGGACCTTACCAATATGTCTGCTGGCTCAGCCTCTCATTGGCTTCTGCAAAAACATAAAATATTCATGTTCTCTTTTCTTCCTCCCCTCTGCATTTTTGAATCAATTATTTTGAAGAAAGGAGAGTGCAGACGTTTGCTTCTTCTAAGCTTTATATGCAAGACAGAGTGCACACAGTTTAGACCCATTAGTTATTAGCCATTATTCTGTTCGGTCAACCCGGTATCCTCACTGGGTTCTAATGTATACTTTCTGTTTAGTCTGCCTGATGCTTCACACTTGAGGCCATCAGCCTCCATCTCTCACACCCCTCACCCTCCTCCCTGCATCGCTTTCTGAAGGTCAGCATCGGGAGGCAGTCGACTCCACTGTGAATTGGCAAAGAAGCGAGACTCTGTGAGCCTCATCTCTGTGTGCGTCTTGCCATCTTGGAGTCTGCTTCCAGGTCGTGTCAGTAGGGTTGTTGGAGCCACAGCAGAGCTTATGGAGTCCCACTGCAAGGTGACATGTACCGAGTGTTGACGTGTTAACAACAAAATAAATATAGCAGATTATTTTTGCGCTAAAAACGAACATTTGTCTTCAGTTCTTTGAGGCTTGGATGATTAAATTGCACTTTTGCCTTTATAGTTTGCAATTAATTTTGTAGAGGCAATTGATTGTTAGTGTCACATTTCTATTACAGCAGCAGTAAAATAAGATGCTTGTGCATTTAAATGCTTCCTGGGGTGAATTTGCTGACGTGCACATTGATCTCCGTTCGGTTGCAAACAGCTATATTTGTCTGGTCTGATCTGGCTTCTGTTTCTTCAGAACTGCAAATTAATAATACAAATACTGATTAATGCATGTATCAGATGTAGGGTGCTTTTTTAAAACTGTTGTGAGATGAATTATTTCCACCTAAGCATCTGCAAAACGATGAGTAATGGTAGACTTTGGAAGTTGCAGGATTTGAACTTTTGTTTCTATATTTTAGGAATATAATGTCTGCCACTGTATTTTTTGGAACGTTCTGATCTAATTTTGTGTTTCTGTACGATTATAATGACATGCTTTATTTAAAAGCTGTTCATAATATTCAGGATGCACGATATTATCGTTATATTATTATTAGTGTATTGTGTATATATATATGTGTGTGTGTATATATATATTTTTTCTCTTTAATTTACTCATTGATTGTTGTTGTTGTTGTTGTTGTTGTTGTTGTTGTTGTTGTTGTTGTTGTTGTTGTTGTTAAGCACTTTGATAACAGGTTCTGTTTTAAATGTGCTCTATAAATAAAGTTGACTTGACTTATCGGCACGGTATCGTATCGTCTGATATTAGCAATAAAGTTAAATATCGGCCATTCCATCAAAATAACTCATCGATATAAAAGGTGCTGTTCATATATATATATATATATATATATATAT